CGTACTAGCATATACTTGTGCTGGTATATTACCATCACAGTACTGCCATATTTTGATCGGCATTACTTGGTACAGTTGGGAAGATGTACACAACTACAGGAAGCTTCTCACCATCCCATATCTATTCAACTCTGTTATTGTATATGCTTAACTGTGATAATTTAGAATAATATAATTTTTGTATTTACTATTTCCAGTGGATCGTTGAATGTTGCAACTGCTACCAGTACTAGGATCTGATTGAGGACCAAGTGGGGGTCTTTTGCTGGAACCACTTCTACTTGATGAGGGTGGCTGATAATTGGTAGTTGGCAAGGCCTTCTGGTACGTCCCAGTGGTGGCAGTTCCTGGGCTGGTTTTTTATGCAGTAATGAGGGCTATTCCTTTGCCACTATCACTTATAACCTGTCTGACAGCATTATTGACCATGTTTGTTAGGCTGTTGACAGATTTTCAGAATATACAATATAAATATTTGATAATAATGTAAAAATTATTACTTCAAGTCAATTATACCATTTCTCTTCTTGCCATGCTTTCTACCTGTGCTTGTAGGTTAACTCTCTCGCCTTTACTAATTTTAATGTTTTTATTATGCGTTTTGCTAGTGATTTAGCCATGGTAAGAACAGTGCCAGTGCGGGAGCCATTTTGTTATTTTCAAATGTGGCCGCCATATTGTGCCCAGGGCACCTCCTTTTATACGGTGACGGGCGGAAGCGATTCTATGACACTGCGTGGATAATTTTATAGTGCACCTTCTTCTTTAACTGATAAAGCATTTGTGATAATTTTTGAGGTACCTAATGCATGGTAACTTGTATAGACAAATTGTTGTTTAAATTATATGTACTTGTGTACATATACTTATATAATCTGGTTATTGTATGCATGTATAATAAGTGTCATAATAAACCACATATACCACACTAAAGGAATTATAGCAACACCACAATACAATAATAATAATTTAATAGCTTGAAATTTAGCTAAATTTAGTGAGTTTAATGTATTTTGCCAAGGGAGTTGTCTATTAAAATATGGCAGCAG